CTTCAGGGCCTTTGTACTTGCTGGGACTCTGCCTGGAAAGCTTTCCTTCAGCTCAGTTCCTTTGTGTCATTTGACATTTAGGTCTCAGCTTAAATGCTGTCTTCTCAGAGAGGCCCCATGTTGTCCTACAGGCACTTTCAGTCACGCTCCCTGGCTTTTTCTTCATGGCACTTATCAGGACATTGTCTGGTTTTACTTGTTCATTGCCTATCTTCCCTCACCAGAACGTCAGTATCCTGGGGGAGGGGCCTTGTCTGTGATATTCACCACCGTTTTCCCAGTGCCAAGAACACTGCCTGGCATAGTCGGCACTCAGTGACTGTTTGCAGTCGGATGGATGAATGAAATAAAACCTGAGGCTGGAAGCTTTCTAGCGGCCTCATTGCCCTTCATTTCTGTTCCAGCTCTCAGGTACCAGACTCCTGGCTGCATAGCCTTCCATCAGTGCCTCTGCTGAGCCCCAGCCAATGCCCGCCCCCCCCGCCTTAAAGGGTGAATAAAGGAAGGCACAGCCCACAATGCCAGGAAGCTGCCAGACCCTAAACTGCCAGATTGGGCTAGTATGTTTTATTGCCACTATGGCTGTGATTATTTCATTAGTTTGATGGTCAGCTTCTAGCACAGTCACGTAACTCCTTCATCAAGGCCTCTGCGTCCTTGCTTAGCATCTCAGAATGCTGACTGAGGAAGGAGCTCAGGGTTCAGTGTCTCTCTGGTACCTGGGCAAACTGCAATAAAAGCAAGCAGTCTGTCACACCTCCTGGCCACTAGGAACACCAGTCAGGCTTTTTGGTTGGTTAGTTTTTGTTTCGTAAACATGTTCATCTTCTACATTCAGCCATCCTGGGGAAAAGAATCATGGAATCTCAGTTTCTTGAAAGTCTTGCCTTTCAGTGACTTCACATTTTTTTAATGCTTTTAAAACGATTTCATAACTTTCTTTGATCTAGGGAGTGGTAGGTGATGGGTATATCAAGTAACACCCTTATTTTGTGGGTGAGGAAGTAAAACCTTAATGCTGTTCTGCTATGCGAGGCCACACATCCTTCTCATTGCTCACCTCTTCCAAGCCGAGGGAATTTCTTGTGTTTTGGGACAGTTCTCAGATTAATTAAGCCTTTGACCAGAGAGCTGAAGTTAAGGTTTAGAGAAATATAAAAATAGATTTGAATTTGTAAGACCCGGGCTTTGGCCACTTAGTAGCTAGTGATTATGGTCAAATGACTTAAACTCTGAATCCTCATCCTTAAAATTGGTGATGCGCAAACCCACTTTATGGGGAGGTCATGAGGTTCAGATGAAATCATGTATTTGAAATTGCTGTGTGAATCTGAAATTACTATAAAGATGAGAGATGCTGTTACAGTTCTGGTTTTGCCTCCTTACTCCCAGTGGGGCAGTCCTAGCTATCATCAAGTGATGTTTTTCTTTTGTTAAAGTTAAACTTGCTCTTAATGACCTTTAACTTTACACAACTGAGAGCCATTAAAATAGATTTTCTGGGCCAGGTTTGGGGGCTCAGCCTGTAATCCCACCGCTTTGGGAGGCCTAGGTGAGTGGATTGCCTGAGCCCGTGGATTCAAGACCTGCCTGGGCAACTTGGTGAAACCGCATCTCTACAATAAACCAAAAATTAGCCGGGCATGGTGGCATGCACCTGTTGTTCCAGCTACTTGGAAGGCTGAGGGGGAAGGATCGCCGAAGCCCAGCAGGTTGAGGCTGCAGTGACCGGGAGCAGCCACTGCACTCTGGTCTGGGTGACAGAGTGAGACTCCAACTCAAAAAAAAAAAAAAAGATTTTCTGGAAACAGTGATAGTCAAACTATGGATACAAAGATACTGGATGATTGTGGGTTGGTTGGTTTGTTTTAAGGAACATTTTTCTTTTTCAAAAAACCAAAGTACATTTTCTTAGACAGTCTAGAATATAAAAATCATAGCTGTGAGCATTTATATGGTCACAGAGCTGCCAAATGATGTGTGACTAGTGAGTCTCAATGTGTTGCACTGATGTGCACATGCTATCTGTTCATTTATTTTGACTTCTCTTTGTATTAGGAAACAGGTAAGCTATAGGTAATACCAAAGCTTTAAAATATGATAGAGGCCAGGCTTGGTGACTCAGCCTGTAATCCCAGCACTTTGGGAAGCCAAGGCCAGGGGATTGCCTGAGCCTGCAGGTTTGAGACCAGCCCAGGCAACTTGGCAAGACCTCGTCTCTACAATAAATCAAAAATTAGCTGGACACTGTAGTGCACACCAAGTTCCAGCTACTTGGAAGACTGAGGCGAAAGAATCAGTGGAACCCAGCAGGTCAACGCTGGAGTGGCTGTGAGTGTGCCACTGCACTCCAGCCTAGGGATGTAGTGAAA